ATCAGTTATATAAACGTGAAGGACGTACTCTCACACTTATGCAAATAATAACAGTGGATGTGGAAGACGGGCAATTGGGCTTTGCAGATAAATTGAGACAGAGTACGACAGAGAAAGAGACACAGATGCTGTATTTTGGAATGGCATTCTAGTTTATATTTGGGGTTTCAAACTGCGGGCAACAAGGAGCCAAAACACAGAGTACGGGTCAAAATGTGATTTATTTTTTTATGCCAAAAATCATTAGAATAATAAGTAAAGATTGTGTTTCATGGAGATACTTTGTGTATGCCCTATTGTAAATATATTGAAACTTAATTTTTTTGGCTAGTAATCTGCATTGCTGAGCACTGCACTTTTCTCAGTACTTAAGATTTTTTTACACCCTCATATTCCAGATTTAAACAGTTTTATCTCAGCCAAATATTGTCCTATCCTAAAACCCATACATCAATGGAAAACTTATTATTCAGCTTTCAATAAAAACAAACACCCCTCATGGCTTTCAAAATGTGTAAAACTATTGGCTATCAATTGACCCTTATGGCTGTCCTGTAATGTATGCCCATACACCCAAAGCACCTTACAATCATGAGGAGGGGGGGGGGGGGGATGGGCTCTTTGTGTAAAACAAAATTAAAAACAAAATTAAATAATTTTGTAAATTTTTTTAATTGAAACTAATACTATTTAATTCAGGTTTAAATAGCAATTGAAAATTAATTATTGAGATTAATCACAATACATTCTGTGTGGTGAAGCTCATCTTGTTATGTGTTTCTGCAATTGAAAGCCATTAATTTTAATACGAAATCCCCACATCAATACACCGTTGATAACAGACACCAAATTTGTAACTGCACCTTTAACATGATGCAAAGAAAATGTATAATAAATAATTTTCAGATTATATTTTACACATATTTAACACATCAAATTATTATTATTCATTCATTTATTCATTTTCTTTTTGGCTTAGTCAATTTATTAATCAGGGGTCACCACAGCAGAACGAACCGACAACTTATCCAGCATGTTTTACACAGCGGATGCCCTTCCAAACATAACCCAACACTAGGAAATTATTAAAATTCATAATAATAATAATAATAATTATAATAAAAATAATTTATTATTACTATTATTACTATTATTATTATTAAAGTCAAGGCCTACAGTGTCAAAAAGAAAACATCTGATCTATACTATGCAGCTCGGTGCATTGGTAGTTTACACTGTAAAATACATAATAATAGTGATAATTTAGGTTGTGTTTGGAAATATCAAATTTAAATGAATGTCACCACCAAGGACACTCGTGTTTTGTGAGTGTGAATTAATAGCAATTTTTTTTTCAAATAAATTGGCTATACATTTTTTTTTCAATGTTTTAGATTACTCAGAGCATTACATCAAAATGATATAATATATCATATTGAAAGCACTTTTTTATTTTCAATGAAACACCACATAAACAAATTTGTATATTGGGAAATTTTTGAAAGAACATGAAATTTTTAAAGCATCTCCACAACTTAATAAACTTAAGGTGAAAGCAAAAGTGCATTCTTCATTTAACAGTTAGTATTAGAGTTTTAAAAATCTTGCATTTATGTAGTACATCGCCATCAAGATTTGAATAGTAGGGAAATAGCTACTTTTAAAGTCGAAAATATAAACCCTAACACAAGCATTTTTTGTTTTTAAGAGATGTCTGATAGACATCTTAACATAGTCATCTTGGCTAAAACAAGGCTAAATTTGGGCTGTCAGTGAAAATCTAATATACGTCTATGAATAGACCAAACCTAGACTATTCTTAAAAAAAAAACAGAAATGAATGACTACACATATAAAGTCTGTCCAATCTGTCTGTTTGATGACTAGTCTAGTTTTAAACTATTCTTAGATGTCTATTCGATTTTCACTGACAGCCCAAGTTTAGCCTTGTTATAGCCAAGCTCTACATTTAGATGTCTTTTAGACATCTATTAAACACAAAACTGCTTGCTGGGATCCAGAACACCTTAAATGCACCTACAGTAATGTGTAGAAAATAACCAGGTAATGACCACGCAATATAAGCAGAGAATTACAACAACAAATGGCTGTATAAACTACACAACACACAATTAGCAGTACAAGCTAGAATCCCATTCCAACATAAAATGAGCTAAAGCAGAGAAGGTCTAGACAAGGTTGAGCGAAAATTTCCAAACATTAGCAAAAGTAAAGTCAAGTAAATGCACCGCGGCTGTCTTTCTGCTTCCCCCCAGGGTTACTTCTCCCCAGCGGGTTCTGCCATGGGAAAGCACATCAGACATAAAGTGCTGGTTCCTGGTTGCTAACGTTCCCGCTAGAGCTCTATAAATAAGCAGCTGTGCTAGCGGGTGCAAGCTGTAGTCAGTGAGCCGCAGAAAGACAGAGAGAGAGAAAGAGAGAGAGAGAGAGTGTGACAGATGACTGGAGTTGACGGGACTGCAGAGGGAAAAACCCTGATGTGTCCTCTACGCAGGAACACAAGGGCAAACGCATTGTCACCCAGACTAGCGCTGCCCAGGGAAAATGCAGCTGAATGGCTAATGGCCTGGGAGAGGCTCTAGACATTCATTCAGCAGCGCTCAGACGGGGACAGAACCCCGTAATCAGAGGACAGGAGAGAGGGATGAGGCCTCTGGGACAAAGAGACACTGAAAGAATTAGCGAGGTGAGAGTTTAAGTGATGAATGTTCTCCAGAATGATTGATGGGATCGCTAGGTGTGTGCACTGAAATGCGTGTCTCTTACAGGTCAGTGGTGTGCTCAGGAAGGTGAGGGGGGATTTTGGTGAGTTTGAGGTTGGAGCAGTCCACTACTGTTCCTTCACATCGGCAGCGTTCGGGACAAACCAGGTCTTGGAAACACTCGCCGCTGAGACGACTGCGGTAGTCCTCCGCACCTGACAAACACAGGAGACACACACAGAGAAAGACACACTATCATACTGCGTTTTCACTTCATCACACACATGGTTGAAAAAAATCCCCTCCCCCAAAAAATCCAAAAGCCTTTTAATCTGTATCTAAAAGTATATGTGCATTAAAATGAAGCCTTTGGGGTTTATGATATTATTTTTTATGACAGTTAAGCACCCCTACAATTGCATACTGTGATAAAATATGCAAAAGCTAAATTAATCAAACGGCTTTGATTTATTACCTTCATACATATTTTCAAGGAATATTTTAGTATGGCAGTAATATGTTTTTGAACAGTTATACAGTATTAGCAGGGAAAAACTACTACAAAAAAAGAAGAGTTCAGATGCAAAAACCTCTTGAGTCAAGAGATATTTCACTTTGAAGACAAGGAAAAGGACTTATTCTTTGCTAAAACAGGGTTTCTGTTTCTTTAAGTCAAATTTAAAACTTCCCTATTAACTTAAAAGTCCCTATTAAGATCATTATGAATTAAATTTTAGACTTTTTTCTAATGCGCCAGCTAGTTCTGTAAACAGTTTTTGTATTAATGAAAGATCATGTAAAGGGATGTGTTGCTTTACGCTTCTTTCCTTGATTAGGAAATTTGTTTATTTATAATCAGCAGAATTTGCAGTATAATTAACTAACAGTTGTTGTGAATTGACTCTTTTTGCAATAAAAAAAACGTAAAGATAAAAAAAAGTTTTGAGATGGACTATTGGTGATCGGGTGTTGGCTCAATAGGGTAGCTTTACCTGGACATAGGAAAATTAAGACCTGTTTAAAAAGATTTAAGACATACAACCCAATATTTTAGTCAATTTCAGACTTTTTAAGGCCTAAAATTTTGTTTTTGAAATTTAAAACATTAAAGAATTAAGACCCCACAGATACCCTGCTTAAAAGTGATGTTACTGAACATGCACAGAGGAACCTGATAAAAATGCTCATTTTAGAGGAACATTTTAGACAGCATTTAGCAGTTTTTGCATCTAAACTTTTCAATTGAACAAAAAATTGCTGAAATGTTTTTGTGATTTTTATAAAACTATACTAAATATGACCACATCTGTATTGCAAATATGTAAAATTCATGGACTTCCAAACTTCCAAAGTAATAAATTTAGGAAAGCAATGGGATGTTTGGTTAAAATGTGTCCTATTTTAAAACTTAATATATGTAAATATGTATATTATACAAATATTTTCAAAGAAAGCTGTAATGAAGTTAAAATTTCAAACTAAAATCTATTACATGAATAGAGCAATGGTCTCAAACTTAATTCCTGGATTGCCACAGCTCTGCATAGTTAAGCTCCAACCACCTCCAACTTACTCCTGCTTAATAGTCTCTATAAGTCTTGAACACCTTGATTAGTTGGATCAGCTGTGTTTGATTAGGGTTGAAGCAAAACTGTGCAGAGCTGCAGCCCTATAGGAATCCAGTTTGAGATCTATGGAGTAGAGTATAAATCTATTATAGAGGGATTGTATAAAATGGGACCTGACCTGAATACTGACCTTGATATGTTTTGACAAGAGAAAAATTGTGAATAAATGAATAAATATTTATTTTATACAATCTTTGATCCTCACATCTACAAACACATTCAGAACCAGGCACAGGCACTTGTTTGCGAACACGACCTCAAAGTCTGCATTTCTTTGAAGATAACAGCGTCATTGAGCGAGAGGTCAGCGATTGGAGGTCTGGCGCTAAAGAGTGTTTTGACAGGAAAACACAGGCAGTTTCTGCGTAACACGCGGTTCTGGCCGCCTGCGATAAGTCTGCTTCCCATCAGCCATCACTCGCCTGCCACTGTTTATCTTATTCCCACCATCTCTGCCCTGATGCTTCCAGTGTCTCCAGAAGCTAACAGTAAAAACCACCCTTTGAAACGCAGACAGAGAACATAGCTAGAGCTCTTCACAAGCGATCCGTTGTTCCCGGCTTAAAGAACGCCACCTTCACTCCTCGTGGTGGCAAAGAGAGGTGCCACCGTACATATCCCAGAATGCCATGCTGTGTGCGAGTGTGCCCAGCGGTCCCTGGTGCTTGACGGAACCATGTGAGGCTTGTGTAGGCGGCGGCACATGGTTAGATCAAGCACAAGAGACAGCTGCACCATAGGCCAGAGTGGAGGAGCGGAGCGGGACGGAGAGGCGGGAAGGAGGAGGAGGGAGCAGCCAGGACACAACAGCCAGGAAGCCGCCCAGAACTCTGGGCCAGCATGCATACACGCGGGCCCCCTTTCCCTCTACCCAGCACGCTCACTGGGACATTTGCCCGCTGGGAATATAAAGCCCGAAAAGAATGACAGACAGACAGACAGACAGACAGACAGACAGATAGACAGACAGACAGACAGACAGACAGACAGACAGACAGACAGACAAACAGACAGACAGACAGACAGAAAGACAGAAAGACAGAAAGGGAATTGAAAGTCACACACAAAAGACATTGCAGAGGAGAAAGGAGTGGAGCAAAGCTCAAATAATCACAAAAAAATGTTTCCTGAACATGACAATTGATGAATAAAGTGGCAAAAGAGAAACCAAAAACAAAAGACCAAACTATAAAAAGCAAAACAAAGCAATACAAAACAATACAAAAGAACAAACAATAAATAAAAAGAAAAACTTAATAAAGCAAATTAAAATGCCAAACAGCTAACAAAAACAAAGCTAAGCAACAAAACAAAACAAAAAACAAAATGCCAAACAAAATAAAGCAAAACAAAACAAAACAAAACAAAAAGCAAGAACAAATGATGCAAATTAAAATGCCAAACAGCTAAAAAAACAATACAAAACAAAACAAGACAAAAAACAAGAATAACTAAATAAAGAAAATTAAAACACCATATATCAAAAACAAAGCTAAGCAACAAAACAAAACAAAAAACAAAAGGCCAAACAAAGCAAAACAAAACAAAACAAAGCAAATTAAAACACCATACAGCTAACAAAAACAAAGCTAAGAAACAAAACAAAATAAAGCAAATTAAAACAAAACAAAGCAAAACAAAACAAAAGATCAAACATTAAAAAAAGCAAAACAAAACAAAACATTAAATAAAAAGCAAAACCAAATAAAGCAAATTAAAAGTCCAAACAGCTAACAAAAAACAAAGCAAAACAAAACAAAAAACAAACAAACAAAACAAAAGACCAAATAAAATAAAGCAAATTATAACAGCGTACAGCAAAAAAAAAAAAAAAAAACATTAACAAAAAGTAAAAGCTAACCAAAACACAAAACTAGACAAAAAACAAAAAAAGACATAAACTTTAAAGACACTGCATAGAAGAAAGAAGTGGAGTAAAGCCTTCTGCCACCACACACACACACACACACACACACACTAACACACACACACACACACACACACACACACACACACACACACACACACACACACACACACACACACACACACACACACACATAAATATATAAAACACAGAGTTTTCACTTTTAATGCCTGTGGAAACACACACTAGGGGCCGGTGTAGCATGTTGGAGTGATCTGATGTTGCACTTGTTTTTGTGTTCAAATTCTGACAGACTTTAATGAGAAAAACCTGTTGCTTTATATCAAAGCAAATGACGGGTAAACTTATCCCACCTAAACATTTCCCCCAGGGTTCCCTGTTTTTGCCTGTGTGTGTGGGGGGGCCAGTTCCGACTCGTAAACCATCTTCTAATAAGGCATCTTCATTCTGCTTCAGAACAGCCAGCATTGTCCTATTAGCACACTGAAACCTGGCAGTGTGTAAGAAGAACTGCTCCAGGCCAGAGTATGCCACATACACACACATACTGTACACACACACACACATACTGAAGTAAAAGGTAAGGGACGTTGTTGAAAAGTCTTAGTGTGAGGAAGCATCTGAGCAACGATTGGTGGGTCAGGATTCATAGACCATCAACAAGTCAGTGTGTATAACTGCATTGGCACAGATTGTACTGGACTCACTCTGGGTAAGAGAAGCAGTGGCTGAATTTCTTTCTTACCGACTATCTTACAGAATGTGTAGATCTTACTATAATATTAAGGTTTCTTGAAAATTTTATATCAATTTTTTTTCAATAAATGTAGAGATTTTGCCTGCTGTTTTGCACTGTACCTTTTTAAATGAAAAAGTGCTCCACAATTAACACCCAGCTAGTTTTGTCGCAAGGGTTGCATTTCTTAATTTATTTGATGAACTTACCATCAACAAACATTCACCGCTGCAAATTTCGATGTTCACCGTAACGTTTATTCTGCCGAACCGCCAGTAAAGACTTGGATTATTGCAAAACAATACAGAGATTTTATTGTAGCGATTGCATGGCAGGGAACGTTATTTATATTCTCCTGGATATTGTATAAGTGTGTTGGCGTTTGTATCTGATTTTCAAATAACTTATCAACATATTTAAACATAAATGCATATAATCTTTATTAGTGGTGTCAAATGAATTATCGCATTCAAAATGTTTGTACACATGCACTCTAAAAAAAAACTCAAGAGGTCAGTTATCACTACACAGTTTAATACACTATTGTAACTTAAAAATTCTAAAATGCTGATTAGATTAAAACTTTTACGTAGCCAGAATAACTTTTATTAAGTTTTCAAAACAGGTAAATATTGATAATTACATCGATTTAAAAATGCGGCTAATTTAAAGGAAAATATATCTGTCAGTTACTTTAAAACATTATATTTAACTCGTAGCAACCCAATGAAATTGGGTTGATAACTCAATTTTTACACACTAATGGAGTTGTTTTGTATTTTTAAGTCCACACACTGATGTTTTTTGTTATTTTTTGTGCTGATAATATGGGACAGTACATGTTTTTGTTTTGTAAAAAAGGAAACCTGTAGTTAAATACAAATAAAAAATTACCAGTAAACAAAAATGTTGTAGTTAAATGTATTTCTTACAAGCATGCACACTAAATTCGAAAACAAACAAAAAATGTAAAATTTTTTTACATTTTAATTTAAAAAACTTATTTTGAGTACTCGACTTAAAAATCTGAGTTTTTTGCTATGTGAAAATGCCACTGATTGAGGAGGAAAAGATTTGGTTAACATAATAAAGTTTATTGTCTGAACCTCATTTTGTTAGATGTTGTCGTAACTTGAATATATTTTTGCAAACTGTTGCATTAATTTTTTTTTTTTGTCAAAACAATAATTTTAGAGTGTGGATGTATTGAATGAATGTTTTTATTACATTCTGCCTTTTCTACCGTGTTAGAATTCTTAGAATTCCAGATTCTTGAACTTTCCCCCCTTTATGAGCAAAAACTTTTGGAAGTTTAAGAAAGCTGTTCAGCATTTCTCATTTTGCCCGATTTAAACAATTATAAACAACATAAAACAGAAACATTTTCATGTTCTGATAGTGAAATCTATGTAGAAGAATCACTTCCTGCCCTCCATCTGAATTTCGTGTGTCTTCAGTGATGTCTTGTGAAAACAACCTATTGTGAAAATTAAATTAAGCCAATTAAACGGTTCTGAGTTACAATGGGTTTACTCTCTATTTTTTTGGTGCTTTTAGAGCAAAGGTTTACTCATTTTATCAAAGGAACTTTTTGTTTTTTCAGTGTATAACAATAGATCATTACACTTAAGACTGGAGCAATTTAGTTTTGCCATCACCGGAATAATAAATAAATAAATTTACAAGATAATACAAATTAACAAGAAAGGAACTTTAACACACACATACTTGTATGTGCTTCATGATGACTTTTCATAAACAATGTATTTCATTCAATAATAAAAAAGCTTATTATATTGCTTTAAGATACCTCTAAACCACCCTGACCTGTGGAAACACAAGACCCTGTTAGGTATGATTTTATCCACCTTGAATTATGAGGACACGTTGCATGTCCTTCATAAACAATCTTAACATTGTCATACCCATGTCATTATACAAATTTGTGTCTTCATAAACCCCATAAGCACAAGCATGCCATCTCTCAGAGCTTAAATCATCTCAAACAATCTAAGCGAATCACATTTAACATTTCACATATAAACACAAATGCAGTCTTGAAAACATGAAAGACTACACTAGAAGATTAAACAGATTAAAAACCATTGAACTGTAGTGTATCTTATTTCGAGCAGCCACTAAGCCACTTACATTCATTACAACATGTCATTTTGATTTCTTAATGACCCATTTTTGCATCTTAATGTATATAAATATGCAGAGTTGACTTTAGAAGGAGTCTCGTGAATAGTAAAGAGTGCCAACACAGTGTAATGTATCATTCTATATAACTTAAAACATCAACTAAAAGAGCTTGAACAGTAAAAGTCCTATTGTAACAGTGCACATGTGTGCAGCTCTACCTGTGCAGCGAAACTTCTTGCCCTTGACCTGGCTGATGCGCTTGTTGGCGAGGCGGCGCGGGTGGCTGCATCGAGCCCCGCTGGTCTCAATTGGATTGTCAAACAGGTAGTCGGCCAGCCACTTCAGATGACAGTCACACATGAACGGATTCTGAGCGAGGTGTCTGTGGAGCGCCAACACAACAATAGCTCAAAACGCTTAATTAGAGCCAAGGGAGTCTGTATAATCAAACAGTAATATCCTCTGATAACAATAAGATTGCTGTGCATTCATAAAAATGAAATGTTGTATTTAATGTAGGCTTTGCATTTGTTTAGCTCACATTTATCTCATTGCTGTTAATGGTGTTGTTTTGCCATCTACTTGTGGCTAATTAATTGCGGGGTGAAGGCAGTCCTGCTCAACAGTTGCTTAGAGACTGAAGTCATTTAGACTGAAAGTGGGAGTGAAGGATGGGGTGTTTATAAGTGTGTGTGTGTGTGTGTGTGTAACTCACAGGGTTTTGATGGCACGCAGAGGAGCGAACAAGCCTTTGCTGATGGTCTGAAGTTTGTTGTCATAGAGGGACAGCAGGTTGAGGTTCTGCAGATCTTTGAAAGTGTTCACTCGAAGGCAGTTGATCTTGTTGGCGTTCAGCAGTCTGGAAGAGTAAACAAGCGTTTCATTAGAATGACTTCTTTTTTCATCAGTATACACAAAGTCTGAATCTGCAATCTGGAAAAAATCTTATGCAGGACTCTGCAG